CAATACTTACATCAGCTTCATAAGAAGACTAAGCTCTGTGGAGGGACTAATATTATGTTTCACTTTACCCTGTTTAATTCCCTTTTGTGCTCTGATCCTTTTTTTTTTTTTACTTCATAGGAGGAACAGAGGAAGTAAGGCATATTTAGACTGGGGGGGAAAGAAAACCAGGAAAAATTGTATATATTCAGAGGGAGATTTCTTGTTTTACCCTCCCTCCCACCCCATTCTTATCTGTTTTATTTTAAACATCTTTCTATTCAGGCAGTGCCACTTGTCATGAAGATAATCTTGACTGCTGTTCTTCTTCCTTGTCACCACTTTCTATCCATGCATGTGCTGAAGGGCTGCTTAGTCTGCCTGGAGGAGAAGTAAATTACACCTGCCCTTATCATGGCCACTCCACAGTCACTGTGGCTACCGGGAGAGGATAGGAAGAACTAGTGAAGATAGGGGCAGAGATCAGAACGTAGGGCAGAAGTTACCGCTGTACCTTCAGGGCCATCTCTAGACACTAGAACTAACTGGCTATATATATATATATATGCATTTTTTTTCTTTTTAAATAGCACGGGGGTGGTGGTGGTGTGTGTGTTCTGGGTTTTTCTGGGGGTAGGTTTTTGGTTTGGTGGTTATTGTTGTTATTGTTGCCCCCTAATTTATGATCCTGAGCAGTGTGAGAAGCCGAGAAAGAAGTGGGGGGGAAGTAAAAAGACCCTTTAGAATATAAAGCCTGGTGCTTTCCTTCTTGCTCTGATGAGTAAGCAGTGAAACCGGTTAATTTACGGTAGTTTGGCAGACTCACAAACACTAAGGTAAAAGTAGCAGCTGCAGCTGGTTGGCCGCTGCTGCAGCTCGCCCTTAGCTCTGAGTTGATCAGCTCAGATTCCTGGGAAATAAGGCTATTTACATTGTTGCTTTTCTCATCATGTCTGTCTGTGTTTGTAGGTAGCCGTACAACGGCCTTCAGCCTCCTCTTCACTGGGAATCCTTCCTGAGGTGGAAGGGCCCGAGATGTGAATGCCCGAATGGTTTAGCGCAACCCGCTTTTGCCGCTCCCAGCTGGGTTCAATGGCCGCTGCCAGATGTGGTTACAACTACGGAGGGGTGTTGGCAGGCAGGAGCTGCCACCCTGTGCTTACTTCCAGGCTAAGGTACGCCTGAGATCATCTGCGCCTGAATGCATAGCCATGCCTTGGGGTTATAACCCGGCCCCCGCCCCCAAGAACCAGCCAACAGTGGGAGTTGAATAATTTTAATAGTTAATTGTAATGCTGTTGTGGCCTGAGCAGAACAAACCAGAAATAATCAGGCTTAAAACAAACAAAAAACCCCAAAAGCAACACAGTGTTATTTTAGAATAACAGCACATGTAGCTGAACTAATACTCCTGATGAGCAAGGACACGGATTTCTCCCCGGGCATCCTGCAGTCCTGTAGGGAAGAAGTGACCTTATTTGCATTTTCCTTGTTGAACTGCTGTCGGGATTTCTGCAGCACGGCAAGAGAAAATTCCTCCAGGAGAACATGGAAATATCACAGCACTAACGCAATATCCTTCAACTAGGTTCCTTTTCCTGAGCCATCCTTTGCCCCTCGCACGGCCAGCTGGCCAGCCACCCAGCACTAGACAACGCGTCCGCTTCTCTCAGATGCATCTCTCATCCTTTTTCTTACAATATATTGTGAAAGCAGCAGGCCTTGAATACAGTGCATAATGCCCACGAACTAAACATTAAAGATGGTTTAATTTTTCCTCTGTATTTCAAAAGCATTGAAGTTGCTCCTTCCCCCATTTCCAGAACAATCTGTGATCTTCCCTACATGCTCCTGCCCTTCCTCCCTAGCCGTTTTTAAAAGCAGAAGAAGGAGCTGCCCCCGCCTTGTACTTGCACATTTGAGTGCTCCTTTCTAAGGTCGGCATTTTGAATTTGAAGTCTATGATTTTAGATGCTTCTATCAGGAGCATTTTCAGTTCTAATCATGTTCTCTAAATTGCTTAGACTCTTTCACCTGCTCCAATTTTAAAGTTAGATAATTAGATTCAGAGCATAGGAGCACTCCGCTCCTCAGCAGTATTGCATAGTCGCGGATGTAAGGCAGAGCGCTGTGCAACTCGCTTGACATCTTCGCACACTTTAATGGCAGCTGATACAGAGAACAGTGGGGCTTTTGTAGAAATGTATCACCTGTCCCTTTAGTATAAGGCCACTGTTTCACCAGCCCATTGGCTTCATCCTGGGACGGTACGCTCCTCTGTGATGGCTTAGAAATCAGTGCCTTTGGGTGCTGCAGTTCACACCCCAAAGTATCAGCAGAAACGTACCCGAGGAATGTCTATTTTAAAATCCAGGCTTTTTTCTAGGGCTGCTCAGAGGTCCTGGTCTGCCGCCTTCCTACAGGAGTATTAAAGCAGCAGGATGCCAGGTGGGGCTATTAACTGTCACCTTTTAAGCTTCCTGTATAATGGATGCACGTACCAACTAAATTATAGAAGTAGCATTATGGATTATTTATACACATCACAAGTGTGATACAGCATTTTGATATTTAAATGATATATATTGTATATATATATATAAATATATGAAACATTTAGAACTTGCTTCACAGAAAATAACACACATTGGTTTTGTCCAATGAAAGACTGCAAAATTCTGAATTTAATGTATAATATAACCTTTATTCTTTTTCCTCTAAACTCTTGGAAACTTACATAACAATCGTGCTTTAATTATGACACCATTTATAGACATTTAAAATGCATCTTAATTTATAAATATTTTACATTTGGTCCATAGAACAGGTTGCAATTTACTAAATAATACTGTACTCTTTTAAACAGGCTCTGTATATATTTTTGAATATGTATATATTACATATATATCTTTATATAGAGATAGATTTGCTTGGTGTTCAGATATTTCCTTATTGCAAAAAGCATATATGATCATACAATAATCTTTTTTTCAGGGCAAGTACTACAAAAAAGATACAGCTATTCACAGTTTACACACAGTAGTTCTACAACACTATTTTGTGCTATATGATACGTTTGTACAGCTTTTTGCTAAAGAGCAGGTCTGTCAAACATCGGTCATAATTGTTTACAATCAAACATTAAATACTGCATTTTTCTTATAACAACGTGGGACTTGATTACATTAAACAATAAAGAGAAAGTTGGAATTTTTATCCTTAGTCTAATGAAATTCACAATTATAATGCGTATGTATCATGTGTAATGTTTGTGTAGGACGTACGGTTTTCCTCTAAATCCCAAAGACTTACAGGACTTTTGCATTTCGGCTATAGCCATTTAGGATGTAGCTTAGATCTCATAATATTTTACAATTGATCTATGAATGAAACAGTTTAGAATCTACCAAACATACTCTGAGATTTTATGATGTAGTTTGAAATACATGTGTATTATATATATATATTATTTCTACAATAATGTGCTTGACATTCTGAGAATAATACCTTATTGCAAGAACATGTTTGTCACCTTCAGACAAAAACAACGAAAAACCCAACATTCACAGTTAACATGTTTTTCACGTAGTAGTTCTACATAAATTGTGCTATCTAACATTGTACGTTGCACAAAAATTTGCTGAAAAGCATGTTTCATTGCACAGTTCTGTCACAGTCATTTACAATCAAACATCAACTACTGCATTTTCCGTAATCCTCTGTGCCTGTCATATAGCTGCCAAACGAGAAATACCGTACAGGGCTAACCACTGCATTTTCCACACAGGGAAAAACTTCCGTGAGCTGAATGGGCTTTCTAGCCGTGTGGCAAATGCAGACTGAGCCCAGAGTGGAGATTTTTTGTATTATTGAAATAGCTTTCCCTCACGCCTTCGTCACCACAAATAATATGTAAATAAAAATAAAACTGTTTTCAAAGTGCTAGCGATCCGTATTTTGTAATTTGCTTATTCGAAACTGTTAAGGTCCTTTAACGGATTAAAAAGAACAGTTGTGAATTAAGCCCTAACTTAGAATTACAAGGATAAGCTTCAATCTTTTCAGCCGTTGTTTTGGTTTCTATTTGGTGGCAATGCAATAATAGTAGAATAATAACAGCATAATAAAAGCTCAAGTACTCTGAGCTTGAATTGCAAAGACTTTGTATTTCTTTTACTCCTGGCAATCTTTAAGAGCTCTTGGATATTACTTCTCATTTTGCTAAAAAAGTTAGAAGTCGTATTTTTGCCTCTAACATCTGCGATCCATGTAGTATTGATTCACAAAGATATGTTCTTTTTATAAGAAATAGTATATATAATTTTAAAGAAATTTACGATCTTGTTTGAAAATTATCTGGAAAGGCTAAGCACAGACAGCATTTACAGCCATTCCATGCTGTATTGCCAAAGAGCCATATAACTTAATTTGCACTAGGAATGTTTATAAAGGCTGTGTCTTCCGTTAACTGAAGGAAGTCTCTTCCCCCTCAAATGGCATTGACTGGAACAAATTTTAAAGGCAGACTTTTTCACTGGAAATCACTTGTTTACAAAATACTTCATTCTTTTGTACAAAACAATTCCGAACTTAATTTTACTCCTGCAGAGTCAGAAATAACAGTCTTGGGATTCAGCAGTAAGAAATACTGATAAACTACTAAAAATGAGCAGCACAAAACTTGAAATAGTCGTGCTAAAAGGTAGATTAAAAAGGTCTTGGCACATCAATTTACAAGTTCCAAGATATGCAACTATTATTGTGAAAGGATAAAAACATTAACAGTCTGTGGATTGCCAGAGAACACAAAACACTGTCAACATCTGAGCTCGCGCAATGGTTGGATCATACCCATGGCGATTCCCTTATAGAGGAGATGACCTTTTTTCTTTTTTTCTTTTTTTTTTTTTTTTTTGCCACTAGAGGTAGGTAATTATATTCTCAGACATAAATTTGTGGTCATATTCAACCATATTTTTTGTTTTTCTGGAGCAGTATTGGTACTTTTACAATACAGAAGTTTAGATGTAGGCTTCTTTGTTTGCAGAGTTGCTCTGTTGGGCCTGGTCTGGCCCGTTTTCAGGATGAGTGATGTCTTCACTTGGCTGAATCATTACTTGGATGCGCTGTTTAAAGAACAGCAATAAATGTGAGGCAGTCAAAAAACTGTTTCTAAGCTTACTTTTTGTTCTTTTTAAAGGCAATCCTAAACACTTCTGTCTAGGCATTAGAGCTAAAATGAAAAATGCTGTTTATCTCCCAAGGGACCAAATAGGCAGTAAATCGCATACACTAAAACCAGTTTTAGCCGCGTTCTGAACATGACAGTAGGAGTTGAAAGACCACATGCAAAATGGTAGGTACCACCAGGCACTAACAACTGAGCATGCCTAGGGAAAAGAAATGAGGAGAGACTGCAGCGTGGGGCAGGGGAGGAGGGACTCTGCTGCGAGCCCACAGGTCTAGCCTAGAGGCTGCAAGTCTGCAGTGGGCAGCAGGGACTCAAACCTGGATCTCAGATGTGCTGGTGACCCTCCCCGGGGAGCGACAGGGACTAGAGAGTATTGGCTGCAGCTTCTGGGAGTTCCTACCTCCAAGGATACAACAGGTAAAGCAGACTTGTATTTAAGATTGTTTTATTTCTATTCGGTCTTTCCTAGTCCTTTTGTGTTCTCCTTTCATGAAGGAGAACTATCTGCCTAGCTCACATTCATGTCGAGAAAGAGAGCCCGGTTTTGATCGTCAGAGCCTGTGAGTGGTGTAGGCTCCTCCTATTACCTAATGATCATTTGTCAATGCTTTCAAAAATGAGACCTTAATCCACAGCGAGGCTGAGATGAGGAACATTTACTGTGGTCTTATACAACTCTGCCCAAGAAGCAGCTACATTTTAGAGCAACGATTCTCCATTTGCACATAAATGTTTCCATAAGACCAAGGGAAATATATTCAAAATGTAGGAGCTAAGAACAAGCAGGGGTAAAAAAAAACCACAATTTTTTTGGTAGACTTTTTTGAAGCATCACCGAGTCTTTTAAAATTTGCTGAAGACACAGATTTGGATCAAGATCTGAGCAATTCATGAGGCATTACTTGTCAGTTCTGCTTAAGATCATCTGTCCCTTTGCAAGGATGGCTCTGTCGGCTGATTCTAGAATATTCCAGAAATCCTGACAAATTCATTTTGACAATCTTTGGTTCCCACAATCATAGAGGACAGAGATGCGTGTTTCAATACTTGTGCTGAAGAAGTGTCTGTTATGCACGGAATGAGATTATTGGCTGGAGAGGGAAAACTGAGGATGCACCCGGATTAAAAAAAAATAAGTATGGCAATTGTACGTGATTACTAAACAGTGTACTGGCCAATAACCTTATTAACATTTTGCACTCCCTTAGCAGCATTTCTCCGAGGACCTTAAAATGGATTTAAGCCATACAACGCCTCTCACATGGGAAGTGTCATCTCCTTTTAACAAATGGAATAAGGAATCAGGGAGGGGCTAAGAGCACAGTGCAATGAGAAAAAGGCCTCTAACATTCTTCATAAAGTAACTGTTCATAGAAATCCCTTAAATAAAGACTAAAGGGAAGTGCAGCATAATCATAAAATATGCTCCCAAGATTTTACATGTACTTTCTCTCAGCTGCAGCAGAACAAGGCAGCCGTTGTAACTTAGAACAGGTGTAACGCAGAACGGGAGCCCAAGTCTGATCACATTGCAGGGAGATGCTAAATAGGGTCACTGTGAGCAGACTCATGGAAACCAAGAGTTATGTGGGTTTAGTCCTAAGAGTTTGATTCCAATTCCTTAGGGCATCACCTGCCTTGATACATGACAGTATGTCTTGCATTAAGAAGGACAAATTTACATGTTTTGTAAACTGCTACTTTGCTTTCTCGGTATAAGGAGCTGGGATGCAAAGTGTCTGGAACTGTCAAAGTCCAGAGATAAGTACCACATTTAATGTGGTGAATTATGTTTAACAACAGATGGTACAGACACTGTCTTGTCTTTTGTTTGGTACTTGTTTTTATGTTCTTCAGCTCAATGCAAAATAACTGGGCTAAGCAAGTGAGGTCACAGGAAAGACAGAGTAGAAAATAGCTGCCCAGCAATCTTTTATCAGTGTGCACAGGTCTCGCAAGATGAAATCATGCAATCAGGAGAAAGAGAGACTTACCTGTTTTAAGGAGCCTTTCAGGGTTAGAAACATATATGCCATATAGCCTGGTATCAGCACCATGGAAGACAAAGCCATGAACCAGCCAACCCCTTGGCCCCATTTTGGGAAAACGTAACTTCCCATTGTGAGAGGAGTCATTTGGACAGCACTGAAGATAAATACTCCCTGAAAAATACAGCGGAAAAGAAGATTTGGATGAGGCTTCCAGTGTTGTGCGTTCAAGAGTTTTTCTGGATTGACTGGGACCTCAAGCCTGCCTTCACATCCAGGCAAGGAGAAAAGGGTTCCATTGGTCCCTCGTGATGGCCACCGGGCACTAGCTTGTAGATGGGCCCTGCAGGTCAGTCTTCCAGATGGAGGTTGCAGAAAACAGGCAAATGTCAGCCCACTGCACTGACCGATTCCCTGCTAGCTTAATCTCTAGTGTGGGAATGTGTAAATAACTGAACTGTAAATTCTGCAATTGTGAAGCTGTTTGTTTCTTTGTTTCCACTAAACTTCTTACTGGAATAATAGTATCAGTACAGCTCCACTGTACTGGTCAGCAACAGACTCCTAGAGGCTCTGAATAAGAAATGTTCTTTAAAGCCTGGCTCTGCACTGACCTCTCTAATATTGCCACCTAAGAGTGCTTTGGCCAGAGGCTTTGATATTGTTCAGATCCTCTGAACAAACGCATAATGGAAAATGAGGGCAGTCAAGAATGGAACCTGCAGTTCAGTAAGTGGCTACAGATTTGTCTCTGTAACAGAACTTATCTTATGAAATTAAAAAAACACTTTGAGTTGTTCAATAACAAGAGATGAGGAGATAGTTTCCCCAAGAAGCCTCTTACCAAAATTAATCTTAATGTCTCAAGTTAACACTATATTTTCATATACATAACCTGCATCTCAGATTATCCAGGTATGCTGGTACGGGGAATCCACTGATATTAGTAGAGTCCTCAGATAACCTGCACAAAATCAGAGGGAAGGGGGCTACTGGTAAAGATGGGGGTCCTGGAGAATAATATCTGCAGACACCTGTATACTGTACCATTGATCAGCAGCCCTTGTGCGTTGCTTTTGTGTTGTTTTCAAACAGGTGACCTGCAAACATGGTATTTTTCCTTCAAGTTCCCAAGAAAGACTTCTACCCTGGCCTGTTTCAAATGTCTAAAACAGCCTGCATCAGGGAAACCTGCTAAACTGAACCAGCAAAAAGGAAGCTCATTCTGATCCCAGGCTCAGGCCTTGTGCAGAACATATTCCCAGAGAGGAGAACGTGGAGTGGCAGATTTTATTAGCACATCATCACCACCTGTGAACTCGCACTGGACAACAAATTCTGCTGAAGACTTTACAAGAAAGGAGAAATCTGGGAAGTTTTACATACAATGTTGGTCATCTTCCTACTATACCACTAAAATAAACAAAATGCATTTTTTATGCCTTCCTGAACAATTGTTTTCAGAAAAACGAAGGCCACCTTCATCTGGGTAGAGATGAATCAAGGAACTCTCAATATAAACACATTTCCGTGCCTCTCTTTAGTGGTCTTTCTTTGCTTTTCTATGGCCTTGGGCTACCTATATGGGAATATCAGAGAAATATCAGTGAGTGAGAAGTATTGCGTCATGTGTAATAGCGTCTACTTGATTACAGTTTTTTATATTGCATCTGGGTTGCCTACATTATGTGCAGTAAATTTACATTTCTTTGCTTAGTATTTCGAAATGTACTGTACGGGCTTAACTGGATAAAGTTTGGAATCGAAAAGGCTGTACTGTGGTTTCCAGTGCACGAAACCCTTGCAAGGTTTGCCAGAAAAACCAGTAGCACTGCAGTATAAACCGGGTAACATATTCCACAGAATCCCATGAGAGAAGAGTATCAGTTTATAATACTAGGCTGTGACCAGAATAGTGCCTGTGAAGGAATTCAGTTTACAAAGTGTGGGCATTTTTGTGTATATGGAAAATGTAAACTTTAGGCAGATTGCTAAACTTTATCTAAGAATACAAGAAATGGTCAAAATTTGTTTCTTACAGTTTTCTATCTCTGCCAGTCAAACTCTTGACTAGTTACCATTTCCAGAGGACTAATACAAATCTTGAAATTGTGCAAGGCCTCTTTTCTTAGGGTACAGGCTTCCTCTAATGACACTGGTTTTTGCCTATTGCCTTCAGTGGAATTGCTCAAATCCTTAAAAAAGGAATGAGGTCAGAGTTAATATGAACCTGTGGGGGTGGAAATGGCAACGCTGTAGTATATAGTCCACCTCATTTACATCCTTTGAATCATATAATAAAAGTTTGTTCCTTACTGCCACAATGATAGGAGTGAAAAATGACCAGCAGAGTTTCCACCAGATGCAGGGTCTGTATCCCACCATCTCTTGGATGTTGTCATAAAATCTATTAACACCTAAATACAGAAACAAGAAACAGTATAGAAACATATCAGATAATTGATGCAATTGAAAGCTCAGTGGTTTTGAGAGACACTGTCATAAATGATGAGGTATGTTTGGAAGCTCTATACAGACCCCAACATAACTTTTCACCTATCTGAATGGGAAAGAAATGCGGAAACTCAGAAGCACCAAGAATCATTTGTTCTCATTCTTCCACATCATAATTAATTAATTAGTGACAAGCAAACTTAATCCCATGCAAAGGCTGAGTAAGTCTGTACATCTGAAGGTCAGACGCAGTAAATGCCCTTGGTTAATTTCAACTCTAAGTCTTATTAGAACGAGAGATTTAGAATGATATTTTACAAATTAAATTTAAAAAAAAAAATCATCCTAATGTTAACCAGCTTCACTCTGCGTGGATATATGCACACCATATACATGCAGAACTGCATATGAAATCAAAGAGTAGCCCTTCTGCTGCTGCTGTTACCTACCAGCACTCCATCATCTTCTAAAAGGTATGTTTATCATATTATTTATAACTTCACATTTGATTTCTTCATTATTTAGCTGGTGTATTTTTCCATTCGCATTTGCTGGATTCATATGCAGTATCTCTCCCCTTTAAAATGCTGTTCCATCCTCTTAAGCCCATTAAAAGACAGCAGAAAGACTCCAGTTATCTAGCTCTGAATCAGTTTTGTAATGCAAGCTGAAGTGCCTCGGTAATCATGGGAGTAGGTCCTTGGACTAGCTAACACAGAACTAAGGTCAAATGCACAAATACTCTGGCAACAATATGATACATATTCATTAAGCTTTATACCCAGAGCTTGTCAGTCCAGACTTCTGGATATTTTAGGGCAATTATGCAAGATACAACTGAGCAAGAAGCCTGGCTCTCACTGCAAGATCCCAGAGTGACAGAGTCACTTCTGGAAATGAAACATTATGAAGTCCAGAAGACCTAAGTCATTATGTTGAGAACAACAGTTCCTAACACCTCTGAAGATCCAGCCTTTCCAAGGAAGGGGGACAGGGAAAAAGAGGGAGATGTCACCTATTTAGTATTCCTGAAACACTGAGCATCTAATGACTTCCAGGCTTATACAGAGGGTCTTTTAAAGAGGCAGAAGTACCTTCCACAAGCCAACTTTGAGTCCTCAGTGGAATTATATGCATATAAATCAAGGCCAATTTCAGTTCCACCCTCAGCATGTGCACACACAAAAGAACAAATCAGTAGATGAAGTATCCTTATGATGTGCAAAACATATGGAAAAAATAAAAACATATCGTTTACCGTAGCACCAGGATATCGAGATGCACTCAAAGAATACAAGGAACAAGAGACTCATTCCACTGGCAGAGTAGTAGTCAAAAAGCTTAAACACATAGATACCACCCTAAAACATACAAGAAGGAAGTGTTAAAATAAATAGTAAGGACTCCAATTTCAAGATGGATTAAAATGCAAGCTACAAACTAACAGTGGCAAATAGGCGTAAATTAATTAAAGTTAACAGGTTAAAGTCTTATAACGGTCAAGGTCAATACTGACAAAAAATAGATTACTGCTAGAATTCAGTTAACTGGTTTGATTTCACTTCACTTCAATTTACTTTGTTCAATAATTCAATCATTTCCTTGAAATAGTTTGCAATCTAGTGGATCACAGGAAGCAATGGAGAACATCCCTAGCTACCACTTCTTGGAGTGTAAGACAGATTGTAGAGATGTGTATTTTCTTGTCACCTGAACCATGAAGTAGGCCTCACTGCATCCACGGACTACAGGCATTTTACACTTATAAGTTAATGTCTGCTGCCAGAAGTCTTTAGATAGTGTCGATGATAGATCCCTGCCACTTCAATGGTTTGCAATGATTCCTGGTTGGGGCAGGGGAAGGGGGAGGTAAAACAGATGTTGTCAGACATAAGATCACATTCTTCTGCAGAACATACCTGAGTAATATTGGACAGCCCTATCAGATAGGAAACAATGCATACAACAGCAATGAAGATTTCTCTTCGATTGCGCAGTAACTTCGGAAATTCATCCACCAAAGCTGTTATGAATCCTTCCACAGTGCAGAACTGCAAGTAAAGTTAGAAATAAAATACAATGCAATGCACTACAAAAGCAGGATTACATTTAGGGGAGGAGTCTTCAATACGACTCATCACTGGCCTAAGGCTGCATCCATTAAATGATAAATGAAAATTCCACTTCAGTGGAAGCAGTGCTTCTGAATATCCTCGTTTCTGTCTAAAAAGATTTGTGCAAAAAGATTTCCAACTAGAAAAACACTCAAAATTCCAGATTATGAACTATAGCCTCTGCTTTATGAAGATAAAGTGCTCTTTCTTGTGATAGAAGACAATACACCTACAGTTGAAGGCTTTGACTCCTAGATCCTTCAAAAACTTACACTTCTTCCTGTGATTTACTCACATACGTGAAAGTCAACAGAGACAAACAGTGTAATCACATCAGTGCTTCAGAGTGAAGCTTAAGGACACAAGATTTATTCTCATATGTTATAAATCAAATGCTTTTGTACCCCCAGAAAAGTCAATGCAATGGTAAGATTTTTGCTGAGGATGTGGTCTTCCAAATGGAAAGCATGGTCATACTTCAGATTTTTACTCTATGTTTATATTCAAAATCAATGTTGTCATTATGATGGCTGAAATAATGAAAAACAGAAGGTATGTAAATTTTTATTAATTTCCAGCAGTGCAATCGGAATTTAACCAACAGTTATAGTTCCTACAAATTATAGCATATGAAATGTTTCACTGATAGACAGAAAATGAAGAAAGCATGACAGCCTGTAGATATATATTCTTTTTAATAATATTAGACTACTCTCCTCAGCTGTTAGTTGCCTAGAGACAAGTTCTTTCAAGAATACTTTTGACCCAATTAATTTCACAGTAGTTTCCCCCCAGACTGAGCAATAGGTTTTAAAGTCAAGCCTGAAGCTTACTGAAAAACAAAGAAATAGAAAACATACATTTTCAGCTTCTTTTCATGTTGCAGGATGAAATGCCCTCTTGGTCTTTTTGTATTTTGGTTCACAGGCTGAAGTCAACTTGGATTTATAGAAAATGATGGATTTTCTCTACTGAAAGACTAGTACAGTACTAAGCTAGTAGTTCTCATATTTCTTTACGTGCTATGAAGACTGTGCTAATGACTGTAAGGTGCTGGTTTGACAACTGCAACTGATTGCGAGTAAACACATCTGCCTATGGTCGGTCACATACACATGACCAAACATTTCAGCAGGCAGAAGGGACTTCCCTGACAAAGTCCTCAAAGTATGCTTTGCAAAGTAAGACAGCACATTAGTGCTTACAATAGAGTTGCTATCTGTATTAAAATTATTACCGATTAATGAATGCTTTTGTTGGACAGTCCTTTCTAGCATGTAAAGTGCTTTTTCCTGTTCTGTGTGCTTTTTTGTTTGTTTTGCAATAAACATTTTTTAATGATTGCATGACTTAATTATTTAATTATTTAACCTAGACAGTAACTCTGGAGAATATCTCATTTGGATTTGCAAAACCTCTAGGTTGTGCCTTTCCATTAATTTCCGGTTGTCAGATACCATCTATAACTCTTAGCTAAGGCCTGAACCAATAAAATCTTGATCCTTACCATTGGGAAGTGATTTCAGAACACGCTAAGACGCAGAACGTCCTCAGTAATGACCCTACTGCCTCCTGAATTTGCTCCTGACGTTCATATGCTTAAAATGAAATGTGTGCTGCATCTTTTTGCTCCATTTGGTAAGTTCTGAAGTCACCTTTCAGAAATATCTGTGGCATCTAAACCTTGTAAAGCATATCTCAGTGTCTTCTGACACAGAAAAAAGAAATGTTTTACGCTGAGGGTGGTTAAACACTGGCCCAGGTTGCCCAGAGAGGTGGTGGATGCCCCATCCCTGGAAACATTCCAGGTCAGGTTGGTCGGGGCTCTGAGCAACCTGATCTAGTTGAAGATGTCCCTGCCCACGGCAGGGGGGTTGGACTAGATGACCTTTAGAGGTCCCTTCCAACCCAAACTATTCTATGAGTCTATGATTCTACATTGATGAACATTGCAAAGGTATTTTTAATATTGTGATTGAATGGTTAAGATTTCAAAGAAAGTTCCTTTTGTCTGCAGAATAAGTTTTCTGCACGTTTTGTATATGCTTCCAACAATTCATGAAAAAGTGAAAGTGTCTTAGTATCAGTTTTTGACTATCCCAGGCTCCTTGAACCTCTTAGTCTTTCCTCTCCTTAGTACCTCCTATTATTTATCTGATTATTCCGTTCTGCACCACTAACAGCTGGCAGTGCAGAATGCACAGAGAGAGGCCAACCTTGTACCATACAGTTGCAGAAAATTTGTCTTCGTTACTAATTTTTACACCAGTTTTACCTGACTGTCAATTCCGAGCATAAGCAACATGGAGAAGAACAGTATTGCCCACAAAGGAGAAATTGGTAACTGTGTCACTGCTTCTGGATAAGCTAGAAATGCCAGTCCAGGGCCTGGTAGGAGAAACAGGAGAGAAAATGTCAACGTGATTGATTGGGTGTTGTGATTATTTGCTCCTGACGATGCATAGGTTTTAGGTTTATTCGAATGACTCAGCCATGGATGCAGTATCTGACCAGGGATTTCAGCTTAATCAGTGTTCAACTGACCAAGAAGTCAGTGCATGTATCTTGCTTTTAAAATGAACCAACCAAAACAAACAAACAAAAAACCCCCCAAAACCCCCAAACCAACTAAGCAAAATACTAGATGCAGTTCAGAAGCTGCTCCTGAGAGACAGGTTTGTATAGCAAAGACAGGGAATGTTATCCTTGGCTAGGATTACATCTTCAGGTACTGATCAGCTTTCTCTCCCTCTCAAGTAGTTATTGATAGCTGTAATCTTCTGCTTTCCACCAAGTAGTTCAGAAAAGAAACAAAGACAGCTCAGAAATGGAGAAGACACTTTCCAGCATTTACAGTATTCCCATTTGCTAGTCCATTCTATTAATTATCTTAAAATACACATTTTAATAAACTGTGTAGTTGTAAGCAGGCAAACCTTTTCATTTGTGTTCCTACTAACTGCTGACGGGGGCATAGTGGTGGAAGGGGAATATAAATTCTTATTAAAAAAGAAGGACCTCTTTTTGTTGTCATAGGATAGCTGGAAACCAGCTGATGTCAGGTTAAGAGGGAAACCTGTAGCAAACTAAATAATCACAGAAATAAAATTAGTGTGCCTCACCTAAGGGGGTATCTGATTTTTCAGTTTTCATTAAAAGTAAGTCTGCCTGTGACAATTGGTTGGACATAATAACTTTCAAAACAGTGAAGCAAGGATTGGCATTAGACTCCTGAATTGTCAAAGTAAATGCAATGCAGATTTTGAAACAATTATTTGCTAGCAGCAGCAGATATGATTGGAATGCCTTCCAAATGGCCGCAGTAAAAGCAAAATAAACTTAAGATAAATATGTTCTTAATTTTACTCTGTTAGACATTCCACCAAAATGCAGCTACAGCTTTTAATAATATTGTTTGTTTTACAAAGCTGTACAAAAGATCGCAAAACAACATGTCTCATGGTGCTAAAATAAAGCATCAGTTTCTGAGCTTGCTAGGAGAAATAGAAGCCTTAATTAAAAGGTCAAAATTCCAAATATCCTTTGCAATTACTGGCCACAGGAGGTCATGTGCATCTTTGAAAAGTCTATTATCTTAGGTACCTTAAAATGTGTTTAGGAGCTTAATATGATATAAAAATATTGTTTTGTTTGCAGGTTTAGTCTTTATATAGTTACATCTGTACCAAACACATGAATCAAAGAAGCTTATTTCACACACCACTGACTTTCCAGAGCATTTTTTGGCAACAGTGTATGCCATCATAATTTTTTTGCTAATTTCTTTGTATGTGTAGTTTACGGAAGATTATTTTTAGGGCTTAAATTTTCTGCTTTTCTAACTAAGGGAATATTTCATCAATGGGATATGCTTGCTAGTATAATAAGACATATTTTGTCCACCAGCAACTTCCAACCAAGCTTTCAGTTATCAGATCCCTCCCTGTGGCCAGAACTGCTAAATTAGTATCTGGTACACCAGCTGGGTTAGGGCAACCATCTGCTCTGCTACTTTAAGGTTTTTCATCTGGAAGAAAGACAAGGAATTGCAAAGAATAGCAGAATCCTTCCATGGACACCTTACTGCCCTAAGTAAAATGACTTTCGTAATAAAGGGTCCCATAAAATTGGCTGATAGCTGTAGGTCTGAACAGGTGAGAAATGGATCTGCCTCAAAGGGCTTAACCTTAAGAAACAGTAAAAGGATTTAAAAACCTAATTGAATTTGAGAATATAGGCTCCAAAAACATAATGACCGTCATTGCTCCTTTCAGTCTGCTTTTAAGAATTTCAGTAGGAAGAGGCTCATAATCTGATGTCACAGCTAAGCACTGAAGCAGCAAACTGTGCTGCCACCTCTTGTAAATGCATTCCCTGTAAGTTGTATTCATTAGTATTCACTGCATCAGCCCAAGACGAGTCTCTGGCTGACCACTCTCCACGCCGAAGGTTTGAGAGCACTGGGCAGGCAGGCAGACAGTCTGCTCGACATGAAATGATTTTGCTGGTGCTGCCTTGAGAGCTTTGGAACAATTCTCTCCCTTTTGCCATCAGTAAGGGCGACTGAAACGACAGGGGGCTGAGGAGTGTTTTGAGGGAGGGATTTTGACCAATTACATGAAGCAGTTGGATACGACATACAAACAAAAAAATAACTGATGCCACTGAACAACTTGGAGAAAAATATATTGGATACCTGATGCTGCAACATCTGCAATAGGCCTCTTTGTGACATTAGCCATGAATCCAACAATGGAGAAGATGACAAAGCCAGCAAACATGCTTGTGCATGAGTTTATGCAGCACACTATGATGGAGTCCCTGAAATAAAGGTAAGGTGCATTAAGCAGTAGGTAAAGCAATGCTACTATTCATCAGTATATTACCCTTTCTTTTTTTCCTGTGAAAAGACTGAATGATTTAGGATTTCACAGTTTGGGTTCCATTTCATGCTGGACAAGTCATACTGTCTCTCCCATGAGTGTAATGCAGTTATACATCTCATTGCTAGTTAGATATAACATTTAATATTCCGATCCGAGACTACATCTTATTTCAACGGTACAGTACACGGAAAGACAGAATCCAGCTCCAGCTGAGACAGGAAAGTGCCATTGTAATATGTGCAGTCATCTGCTTACCTGTAAACATTATTGTGGAAAGGGTTGTAACTTCCAAGGGCAATCAGTGAACCAAGACCCAAACCATAGGAGAAGAAAATCTGTGTGGCAGCATCCAGCCAAACCTGATTGCAGGAAATAATTTTTTTAAAAATCTGTTTCTGCACTTGAGGAGCAGGTCATATGTCTGAAACGTGAACAGTTAGTAGTGAAACTTTTGTTTACAAGGATTGAATATTTACCTCAGAGTCTGAAAGCTTACTGAAGTTGGGAGTTATATAGAATAAAATGCCTTCCTTTGCTCCAGGCAGTGTTACACCACGGAAGAACAAGATAAGCAGCATAACATAGGGATAAGTAGCAGAGAAATATACCACCTGATGTGAAGAAACAAGACATCGTAAGTGTGGAAGGAAGGATGATCTGTGCTTGTTAACACTTCAGAAAATATTTGCTCCCTAAAAGTACTGTAGCAGCAACTGAGGCTGACTTTTCAAATTGAAGCATTTATCAATTACAACTTTTCAAATTTTAGCATTTATGATCAGTCAAGACCTACTCAGCTGATGGCCTACTGCAGAATTCCCTAAACACCACGTCTACAAGGCAGGTGGCTGTTGCTGACCTTCCTGAAGGTGGAATTTAGTGGACTAGGATATTTTTGCACAAGGGGCTCATGCTTTTCTTTTTTTGTATTCAACAAGGGGAGCTCCCTAAAGCACAAGGTTCTAGTACTCCTATCCTGCTTGTAGAACAACATCTGTTAGATTAGCATCCTGCTCTCAGACAGCTGCTTTTGTATTTTTAAGACTCTCCCCTCACCTATGTCATAATTGCCCTACAGGATCCTACTCTCTTGCCTTTTCAAAAGCCTTATAAAAAAGACACTATGAAGTCAGACTCCAAAGAAAGAGTCAGCCCTTTTTTGCCACCTTCTTTGCAGACAGGAGAAATGAAATGGTTTGGTCTGAGCTCAGCTAGGCCATGTTCAACGTGCAGCTTGAAGTGGGTCACAGTTACAACTATCTTGTCAAAAGTTAACAATTCATTCTTTCAGTGCGAAAAAATCCTAGTCCTCTCCACTGGGCCTGAGGTCTTATCACCCAAGCCTTCAGTTGCCACCAGGCCCCACGGCTGTGGCTTTTCATTTCCTTAAGATTTCTTCCTGCCATTTTGGGGAAAGGGAGAGGCAATGTCAGATGCTGTTGGCCTTTCATTCCTGGAGAAAGGTCTGTCAATAATATACTTTCCTTTAATTCATTAGTAAATTCTGTTTTGCACTCAGAACCCAGTCAGACTCCAAGCAGCACAGCATGCAAGCATGCCCGTGGTAAGAACCACCTACGGCTCTCATTTAGCATAAGGAAAGGACGGAGTAACTCTTATATCCAATATAGATTCAATACTTACTTACATGTCTAAGTCCAGCAAGAGCTGTGCAATAAATGCATGCTTCTCACTGAAGCCAAAACACTGCATCCTCACCCTATTGCTATCCAAACTAGCTAGAATATTCATCCCAGGAACAAGCAGACATATTTTTAGGCAATTTTATACCTGGCAAAGCCAAGAAGTCTTTAAGTGAACATACCATCCAAGACTGTGGTCAGAGCTAGCTACAGAGGAGCCAGCTCTTTCAAAACCACGGTGCTGTATCAATTCAAGAAAGATAGAAATTAAATACCTCACAGAGCTATTCCAGCAAAACTATCCCCAGTGCCTCTTACCTCAAGAATTTTCAGAATATTTGAGTAAAATGGGCATTTTTAAGTGAAATGTATTTACAGTACTTTTTAATCTTACCTTTCCGGTCCAGCCTACCCCCTTCCAGATACAAAAATACACCAGAATCCAGGCAATTGCTAGAGTAATTGCTAGCGGCCATCGGATTTGCCCTGGTTTTTCCAATCCATCAGTCATTTGGTGCATGTTGCGTCTAGAATAAGCCAACAGAATGGTGTATTTGACAACTAATTCAGAAGATAGTATATGAGTGATTACAAGCTGATCCTTGCATATGCACAGGAATGATACAGAGAAAAATTATCAGCTTACTCCCAGAATTCAACGACGGCACTTGTCATGTTGGTGGTGTTTGCTAAGGTATAATTGGAGAAGCAGCGGTCAGTGTTCCATGGGTTCTCACAGTGTTTCCAAGGAAGAGTCTATTTAAGAAAGAGAGAGAGAAAAACCTAAACAGTCAAACACTTCTTAAGTAAGCATTACCTCAGGTATCTCTCTCTTTACTAGAAATGACAGTTGAGCAGAGAACTAATATACTTCGAGTTCTGCAGTGCACTCATCTCCCTGGGGTGCATATCTGCCACATAATAAAGATATGATGGTTATGGATCAGAGATTTCCATTTTACAGATATGCGTTTTCTACATGTGTCCATTGCATTAATTTATCTTTCAGAAGTTCTGAGAAGCAGAACCTGTTTCCACATGATATCCATTAGAATGAATCTCATTTAGATACAACTTAGATATTCTTCTGATGGCCAATCTTGGAAAATCCTCTCACAGAAAATGTTGTATCAGGGTACTGCATGTTTTAAATACAAAGATAAGAGGCTTCAAGGGAATTAGAAGTCAATATTCATCTAATAGGGGCCAGTGCACCACTTCCAGACTATGACTGACCTTTCACATCAATAACAAATCTGAGGATAACAAAAAAAGAAATTATCATGTCACTCCCAGGTAGTAATTAATGCAAATTTGGTCAAGGGACAATTCTTTAAAGCCGAGAACAAGCAAGCATGAACAAAATTTGTAGAAGAGACAACAATTGAACAATAATGCATTAATTATTGAGACTTATGTAAGAATGCTTCCTCAGATGGCCAAAACCCACAAATCAGTCAAGACCTACTCAGCTGATGAATCATCCTCCAGGGGAAAAAAAAAGGCAGCTAAAAATAAAGTTAAAAGGAAAGAAAACAAAGCAAAAATAACAACAATGAATGGAAGCTCAGAGCTAATCAAATCACAGACCTTCCATTCCATGGAATATTCTTTAATTCTTTAATTCCATGGGTTATTCTTTAATAAACCCCTCCACAATTAAAACACATTGCAATGATACTATTTCCCAAAGAACTAACATTTGTGTGGCTGCTATTGAAGAAAAAAAAAAATCAGTTATACACTAGAATTTTTCTCAGGGGAATGACTGGCCTGTAGGCTCAAAGGCAAAGGGGTGCTGGTACTCTCGTTAGCATTGCCGGGACAAGAAGTCCGAAGCCTGAGCATGACTTGCACCTGCCTGGCAGGCAAGCAGAGAAGCAAGCAGGCATGCTTGCAATTAAAGAGCAAGCAATTAAAACAGGTAATAGGTGAAACTAAAAGGGTACAGATGAAAGAGCTGTGGCTATGAAGAGTAAGATGAGGAAATTTAAACAAATCGGTAAGAAAGAGAAGCCTGTGGCTCCAAAACAACCTATTATTATGTTTCTCCACTGACATTCTTGGGACGGTATATTTTCCTCACAGTTTTCTGTTCTACATTTCTTGTGGAGAAAACAAAAATTTAAAAAAGGATTTTTACAAAATGGTTTTCCTTTAGTAAGAAATGGCTTATCCTACTGATTTCTATGCATTTTGTGTTAACCTCACACTTTTACAGTGAGACAGATTAACCAGCTACCTATATATCACTTTGCTTTACATTCAACAAACAATTCCAACCCCCCCTCCAACACACACACACTTACAGTGGTAAAGGAATTATACAGGTAGTATATGGCCCACGAAATAATCACAATGTAGTAAATATTTAGCCAAAAGGAAAGGACTGCAGCAGCTAGTCCCACACCTGTAAAGAAAACAAAAAGATACAAAAGAAGGTAACTTTTAGTAATGTCTGTACAAGTGTCAGTTGAAGAGCTGCAGTTCACAAGGACAAATACAACATATAGGGCAGGTACCATTTACCAAAGTTTGTAGAAGCTGAGTTAAAATTTTAGAAGTACCATTATAAAAAGGTCATTAATTTGGGTGATAATTCAGTCATCCATAAATTTAATCTTAGTGTCCAGTTCTCTGTGTGTTGCAGTAAGCAGTCACACCTGCTGCTGCTGAGATTTTACAGGCACTTTTTACTTCCAGGGAAAAGAGCTAAATCAGCTCATTCTCTGAAAGAGCAGTCCCACAGAAACTTCTGGCAGGTGCACTCAAATTGAGTATGAGTTGTAAGACCGGCTAGCCATTTAGTGCACTGATCAAAGTGCTTGATGCTTAGCATAACGCTATTATGTCATCTCAGACTAAAGAAACGTCAGGGGTTCCACAATGAGAATGCCTTATCTTCTACTGCACATGGAGACTTCAGGGGTATTTTAAAGTATTCAGGCTGGTGACAGTTGCCACATGACACTCAACAGGAGGAAATGCTCAAAATAATCAGTATAATGCAAAGCAAGGTCTATACTTTTCATTGTGCCCCCTACCAACAGCAGTAACTTGAGCGAAGTTAAAATACTTATCTGGGAGAAACATTTTCAACTCTCTGGGTTTTCCCAATACAAAATTACTTAGAACAAAATCCACTCTAAACAAACATTTAGCTCACCCTATGCCAATTGTCAGTCCTACTGTGTGAAGTAATTTATAACTTGGTGTGTTGAGTTGCTCCTCTACTGGTCCAGAAGTCAGCTCAGGAGCTCTTAAGTGTCAAAGAATTTGGGATGAGAGGGGGAAAAGCACAGTTTGTGAGGTTTGTAGGTCTATGCAGAATCTAGATTAAAACCTTGAGGTTCTAGCAATGAGAAACCTCAAACTAGCCAAAAATCTAAGTATGGCGTGAGCTTGTCTTAAGCAATTCAGCATGAAATTGCCATCTTTGAAGTGTCTGGCTTTTGAATTTCAGTAAAGAACAACAGGAGATACAAACCTCTGTGACTTCAAACAGAAACACTGTTTACCAAATTGCTGTGAACAGAGTTCCATACCTGCTCAGGCAATTATTGGTAGATTTAATATGCTATTTTGAACAGTCTTTATATGTTCCTAACAAAAAATAAAAGTTTTTTAAGTTCAAAAATAAGTTTGTTGAGATTCTAATGCCTAACTCTTGCTATATTTAATGGGGAATAAATAATACCCTAGCGTGTTTCAAAATTGTCAGTTACACCTCAGAAAATTAGGGTTTAAGTAAAAATATGAAGGCATAAAGAAACATCCTTGCCCTGTCACTTTGTGCAACTTCTGCAACTTGGAAACAAATGGAAAATAATCCAAATTCATACTGTACCTTTGAACATTGGGGCAAGCTTCCACACTCCGAGGCCTCCTATAGATGTGTACTGACCAAGGGAACACTCCAAAAGAAACAGTGGCACTCCAGCAAAAATTAAAGTAAGGAAATAGGGAATGAGGAATGCACCTAAAAAAGAAATAAGAAAAGGTCTGTTACAGTGGGGAAAAGCACGACTGAGTTTCCACTGTTTCTATCCCTATATGAAAAGAAACCCACATTTTTCTTCCTCCTAAGTGCAACTTTTAAAAAAAGTTAGTGGAAAGCACATGTACGCTTCTGAACCAGTATCTCAAGAGGTGAAAATAAGGGGAAAAAATATATCTCCTCATCATTTAACCATGTTCTGTTTAAGTAAAAAGCTAAAATCCAAAAGGCTGTGTATTTGTTGCCTTCATCTATCACAGGAGCATGCAGACAGCATAAAGGCTTTAACCAGAACTGGCTGCTTTCCAGCTGAAGTCACCCTTTCATGGTAAGCTCAGAGTCAGTATTACAAGCCGTATGCAATCCTCTCAAAAACTCAGTCCAAAAGAGAGGGCTCTGAAGGGTTGGAGGGCAACGTGCTTTAGTTCTGCTCTAACGCCTTATGGACTTTTAAAAGCACCCGCCAACTAGAAGTTAGAATAAACCCCAGAGCAGACCTCAAAGCAGAGCACCACACTCCAAAATGGCTCCAACCCTCCTGGACAAGTGTAAAGCAAAAAAAACCCCAAACCAAAAAACCACCTATACAGATGAAAAAGCTATTAAAACCAAGTTCCGTTTTACCGATGATTTTTATGGTGAATTCTAATATACAAATATGTCAGAGGTTGTAAGAATGAAACAGCAAACATACCTCCACCATTCTTGCCACAAAGGTATGGAAATCGCCACACATTCCCTAAGCCAATGGCATAACCTACACAGGACATAAGGAAGTCGAATTTTCCTTTCCAAGTATCTCGGTCTGGCAGATCCGTCTTCTTCTTCTGCACTTTTACGACCAAGGTTTTAGGCTTGTCATTGGTGATTGAAGCATCAACTTCCGTGGAGATCTGTCCATCTGCCACCTTTGTCCCGTTCGTTGCCATGTCTCGGGGTTTCGCTGGGGAGGCTCTGGCAGCAGCCGGACGAGAGATTTCAGCACCAGTCCACGTGGACAGCAGCTTTGCGGCTCGCGGTTACCCAGCCGGGCAGTCACGGCTTCGGCAGGCGACACACCACGACCCCCCGGCCCCCCGGGTGCCGGGATGGTGCGTGAGCTAGTCGGCAGCCCCGTGCCAGCTTCTGGATCGATCTGTAAAACACAGGACCACAGGATCCAGATTTGCTTCAGCAGCACTTTAAGCAACTTAAAAACGAACAGTCACCAGAGACCTCGCCGCCAAAAGAGCTCTGCAATGAGGGTGTCTCATCGAAGAGCTTGGCTCTGCCCGTTGGATTTTTTTCTTAGTGACTCAGTAGGAAGCAGAGCAGAACTAGCATAGTCCCCCAAAACAATCTCCAAGCCACAGTTTACTCATTTTTTGCCCGATAGATCTCTTATGAGTCTACAGAAACAAAATAATTCTAAAATGCAGCACTGTATTGTACATAGCGTACAGCCCAGATTTTTCATCTCTCTCTCTCTCTCTCTCCCCAAAAGATGAATCAGTAATGAGATCTGTATTTAACAGCCCAGTAAATAATATATATAACAGCCCAGAACTTGGGCAATGAAACTATTCCATTGAATGGTTCTGCATTTAAAAAACTAAAAGGGAATTCCCATGACTGTAAAGTTCCTTTATTTACAAGAACTTATGGCTATCAAGAAATAGCACTTGCCACCTTTAATAGTGAATTTAAAAAGTTATGAACAGTGTGCACTTTTCTAAAACACCTTTCTCTAAAACACTCCCAAAGGAATTAAACAATAAACCAGATCAAGCAACAGGACTTAATCCTGGGTAATGATGTTAAGTTTTACATATGGTTATAATTAGCTGTTCATATAAGACAAATGTTTCACTAAGCTTAAATTATAAGCACTGTAAGACAACAGGCTGAATAATCACTCCTCAGTGTCCGTTTCCTACCATGGGTTGCATTCTTGCACCTTTTCAAAACCCATTACTGGTACTATATAAATTTTCAAAATCTACATACATTATGAAAAATGACCTGGGATATTTCAGGCAACTCTGAAGCGCATGTAACTCCTGCAAACTTCCACAGCTCCACTTCAACTGGAAAAAACACAGTGAGCTAGTGGCTATTGCATGTCTACTGTATGCCCATTCATGATCGATTTATTGTCTAGTTCCTCTTACTAACTTCTTTTACCATATGCCAGCCACCAGTCCCCAAACCAGAGACTGCAGCAAATGAAACACTTGCCAGCGTGAAGATACACCTTATGGCAATGTTGGCATCATTGGCCATGAGGTCATGCAAAGATCAGCAATAATTTTATTTACAGATTTGTGTAAAAAAGATTGAGATTACTAGCCATTCACTTCTAATTGTAAATTATGTCAAAAGAAACATAAATACACATGTAAAGACTCTGCTATAAACAGTGCTTTTCTTCAGCTTTTCATTTCAGATCACTGCGTGATTATAATGCTTATTATATGGTGACATCCAACAATTAAAAAACCCCACCAGTTTTCAGTTGGAAGCTGAAGAAGAATCAGCTGTAAGAATGCTGGCGTGACGAGAGAAACAAGGATCACGCTTGTAACCTTCCTCTCTGTTCCACTTCAAGATGGGACTCAAAGAGGGAAACTCCATCTATGTACCTTCACGTCCTCACAAGTCCTTCTGTGTAGAGATATCTCCCCTTCATAAAACTGTGGACTTAATTTTCCATATTTCAATGCAAGCCTGTCCAATTTTGTGTACCAATAAACGTCATTTCTGGCTGTAGTCAGAAGTTTGAGCAGTTCAGCATTTCCTTATGCACGAGGAAATACAGGTCACCGTGTCGGCAAAATGGGGCTCCTGTTCTGAGGCTGGATCGAGATCACGTTGAAACTTTGACCTCCCCACCTACACGTTTGTGAATTTATGGTGCAGACAGCTCCAAGTGCACTAACAAATGTGCAGTTTGCCAGCACCACCTACTGATGAAGATACAGAACTGAAAGCGTTTCTTTTTAGCCAACACAGGCTGTACGAAGTTAAGGATCATCAGGGTGTTCTAGTACTTTTACAAACAGGTCCTGTACTAGATTAGATTTTGTTGTTGTTGTTGTAATTTACATTTGACCGGTGCTTTATCATCGGCAGGAGTGTCCAAGTACTGGAAGAGGCTGAGTGTGTTGAGGATGGGTGGAAAAAGAAACCCAAAACAACATAAAACCCCCCAAATAAACCAACGCTACATAGAGAGATATAGAATCATAGAATCATTAAGGTTGGAAGAGACCTCTAAGATCATCAAGTCCAACCGTCAACCCAACACCACCATGCCCACTAAGCCATGTCCCTAAGCGCCTCATCTACCGGTCTTTTGAATACCTCCAGGGATGGTGACTCAACCACTTCCCTGGGCAGCCTGTTCCAATGTTTAACCACTCTTTCAGTAAAGAAATTTTTCCTCACATCCAATCTAAACTTCATACATATATATGTATGTATATCTCGTTTGGCTCATAATGAGGGAGAAGCTCATCCTCACAGCTGGCACTCCAGGAAAGGATCTGTGCTGAATCTCAGAACCGAACAACCAAGCCAATAGGAACGTGGACTCACCCCCGCATACCTACAAACAGGCTCTGCAGGTAAGTGCTGGGCATAGAGCCTGCCCTTGCTCTTCCAGCCCGATCAGACTCTGGAGACTTTTGGGTATGCATTAAAGCCTCTATTGAATAACGTGAGTAATTTAGTTCAGTGTAAGAGTCCATGGAAAAGACAAACCGGAGGGTTAGTTAGAAAATCTTCATGAATAAAGCAGAGAACCTGGGATTTTGTGAGTCCTCCTGGAGGAAGGTGCCCAGACCTGTTTCGATACTACTGTAATGCTGAATGTAAGGCTGAAACTTCACAAGACACGCCAGCAAGTGTGCAGACGTCTATGTCGAGGGTGAGAGGGGTTTGGCAGGCAGCCTGGTACTTTTAATATTAAAAGAGATTGAAAGCAGTAGTTCAAACAATCACACGTGGAGATGTGCTTAACTTTCTTGTACAGCACAAACTTTGGCATACATCCCATGGCACACACTACAAGTACTCAGCAACCTCGGGCAGTGGCAAGCCCAAAGACTCAGCAGAGGCTTGTTTTGAGAGGATGGAGGTGGGGACTGACCAGTTTGCATCTGTCCTGCCCTACTGCTGCTGATGCCATTATTCTATTTGGAGACCATGCTGGAGATTTTACTGTCAGTGGTGTCAGTGCACGGACATTTGTGCATATATGGTGATACAGCAACTCAGCATCAGACAATGAAAACAATGCTTTCATTCCATAGGCTTGAAAGTAGGGGTTTTTCCATGCTGTGAAAAATAATTTTCCCCAAGCCTAAGAAATAATAATAATAAATTACAGCAATAGAGGTAGCCCTTAACCTCCAATCCACACTCTTCATATACAGTAGTACTTCAAAAACTATGACTTACGTACAACAATCTAGAACAACTGGAGATACAGCAGTAAAGATACTTGGTATATGCTCTCTAATCTGATTAAGGCAATATCCCACAGCTCTGGGATTTAAATTTAAAATTGGTCTGACATGGAATGGGACAGAAAGACACTTATGTAAGCTCTGTGGGTTGGCTTGGGCAAAATGAAATACAAATTGTAGCTGTCAGCCAGCAGAGCACGTACGACACTTGCTATGCAATGTTATGCTTTGTGGGAAGAAGATGGAGAGATCTTTTAAATAAGTTGGTCTTTGCTCCCCCAGTTCCTTCACGCCGACACTGAGTGTGCTAGGAAGGGCACAGCAGCTTCCCACCACATTCCTCAGTGCACAATAGAGCTTCCTTGACTTCAGTTACTAGGGTTGCTCAGCCAAGAGGAGAAAGCCCTCTAAAACAGGGTTTTGGATACCATCTGGTTGTCCCGCATCACCACCACATTAGAGAAGAATGACTTGAGAGAGCCAAGCGCACATAGCAGCCAAGGTAATAAGCCCAGCCAGGGAAACTGGAACAAAGAGAGTGCCGCTTAATTAATAAAAGCATTTTTCTCTCTCCTGGTCTGCATAAAAGTGGATTTGAAGAGTTTAGAACTGGCTGCATAAAATGAATGTGAACAGCAATATTACTATCATCTTTCACAAGTGATATCAAAAGGCAATGAAGAACGGTTCAGAAACACACACAGTCAGCAGGCAACCCCAGTTCCTTTAAATGATGAACCCCTGCTATGTTCAAAGTTCATTACTCTCTCCCCAGAGTGCAGCAGCTCCAAGGGCTCCACACAAGGCAAGACTACAGCAGTTGCATTCAAGAAATGCTGAAGAAATACTGTTATATAAAATGCCACATTGGCTTCATAAAACTTTGAAGGTATTACTCCTCTAACCTGAGTGGGACTCCAGTTGAGCCCACTGTGACCATGGGTTATTTGCACTTACAATTCTATTTGTATTGGACAATTAAGTCAAGAGAACGCCATGCATATGCTAAGTTTCATAGCAAAATATATATCCCATATCAGCAGTGTCCTGGAGTGTATGAAATGGTATTGAAATATAGAAGGTGTAGAAAGAAGACTGCTGAGCTCATTGGACTTCCATTCTGAGATGTCCACAAGGACAGCTTTGTTTTATTATTCTTTTATAGGAGAGATACTGTTTGGAAGTAGCAAACAAAATACTGTGCACATAGATAGTGCACACCAGGTGATATCACACATGCTGTTCTACCACATATATATAGCAGAAACCCATATGCATCAAAGAACGCTGCTACTAACTTTTCCTACTGGTACTTCAGATCTCTCATGAAAAATCTGTCCCAGTTACGTGGACTTCCACAAAGCGTTCATTTTGATTCAATACTTTGTGCAATGCTCACTGGCTCAACCAGCAATCATGCCACCTTTGGTTTCTTAATGGGAGGAGAATTTTCCTTTATGTACAATTGCCAAATTGCATATTGAAACAGACCACCTAAAGGAAAAAAAACCCACAAAAAACCAACTAAGAAAACAACCCAGAAAGTGACAAAACAGACTAATTCCTTTTCTTTTGGTTCACCT